CAACCAAAGCTAGCGAAGTAGCATTGTCATTCCAAGTAGTAGCGGCTTAGCTTTTCTCATTTCTCATATAAAAGGCCCATTCCGCGCTGATAATACGGCAGGGTTTTAGTGACTAGTGTGACCATAGCTGACGAGTGCGCCCCTCTCTGATGGAACTATCCTTGCTATAAGATCTGCGTAAAGTGCGCTTTCAACCGCGTAGTGTGGCCGGGCTTGCTGTCCGTAATGTAAGAGCAGCGATTACGGTTGGTTTTTTGACCCCTTTAGAGCTTAGAAATTTCGCCTTTACGCCGCAGATCACCATCTGCTAGACTATTACCGCTTTTGCCCTTGAGAAACGGCTATTGTGGTGACAGGACACATCGTACATTGAGGACCCCCAGCGAACAGGTCTCATTTGGTCGCTGGAAGGAATGGGGCAGGAATAGTTGCCTTCGGGTAAACGTTTTTGGTTGTTCAATCTTTTTTTTTGTTTCGGGGTGCTTAAATGTATGTTTCGCTGCGCAGCGTCTGAGAACGGAGAGAGGAATTTTGGAAAACGAAACTTCCCGGAAAAAGGTGGGATGTTGGGAAAGATCAGAAAGATCGCGGGTAGGATGGGGAGGTGGTAGTACCAAAGGGGGAAATTTCGGAGGGGGTAGTGTTTTGAGGAAATTTCGCTCTACAGCAGGGCCTGCCTTTACGTGATTGGTGATGCCGCTTGCATACTTATGTTGCAGCAGCTGATGTGAAAGTGATACAGGATGATAACGAATTGTATTCTCTCATAAGGACTTTGAATGATAGTGTGTGATAAGCAATAGTAGAGGATGATAGATCTATGATTAGGATACATCGAGGAGTGAGGGTATTTTAGTTGGTGGTGGTGTACGAGGTTATTTTGGAGTGGTTAAAAGTTTTTTCCTGGCTCAGGTCTTTGTGGGCGGAGTCTCTCTCGGGTTTTCGACGAAAACTGGGCAGGGTGATATGAAGTAGTAGTTAGTAGTTTTAAAACTTCATGGTCAGGGCTGTCGCGGTAGTTTGTTTACCAAAATACGATCCTTTCTCAAAGTCAGGTCAGGTGAGGGGTCTCCGACCAGCTGTTAGAAATAGTTATAGGCATGAGGCACCACAATTTAGTACTGGTAGTATTAGTAGCAGAGGTGATACATAGTGGGGAAAATGACGAAAAGGCTGAGTTAAACTGCTGAAAACCCGCGGAAAAAACCTCTGTTCTGCACGGCACTGGGCAAGCATATTTGGGCAAGTTCTCCGTCGGCACCGTCCCAACAACCGCTTTGAGAGTATGATAGATATGGCTGCATGTATGTATTAATATATCAATGTACCACGCTTCCTAGCAATTGTACTTCATAAATGAAATTATAAGAGAACCAGGGTCGATACGACTGTGCAGACAACAATTGGGACGGCGGATGGGGTGGGCGTCCGGGTCGCATCTTTGGACCTTCTTTAGTGTTGCTTAGAGGGGGATTTTGTCGCTGTGATGTAATATTCCGTATTTTGCACATACCAACGGTGACGCGCCGCGACCGCTCGCGCCGCATGGGTACCCACCCCGTGGTTACCTGAATAGCAGAGAAACGAATTTAGTTCCGAGCCATCATTGTGATATTGCCACCAAAGACTGCTGTAGTTCGTAGTAATATGTTTTCTCATGAGGTTTTGTTTCTTGTTAGCTTCTAGAAACTGTTCATTTTCTGCTATTTTGTATGCTGATTTTTTTATCACACTAGTCGCTTTCTTGCCATTATTGAACGGGCCGTGAGTCTCTTATAATTTCCTTGTCCTTGTTTTTTTTATCATTAATGTACTTTGTTCCGTACCACAAATTTACCTTTCCATGCCACAACGTGAAATGCTTTCGCATTTTTCACTTTTTTCCTAGTTTTTGCATGTGTTCCTATCGAAGGAATTTGTGAATATTTGTTGCTGAAATAAAGACATATACCGCGAAAAGTAGATGGATGGAGATTATAATCATTGTGCGTTGCTCTTGGTGCCTCCTAGTCATACGACAAAAGGGAGAGGTGCACTCGTAAACGAGGAAGGCGTAGTAGAAGCTTTTCCCCGCCCCGCCCATCTTCTCATCGAGGAATGCCTCTTTGCAAAGATTGGTCGCTTCTACGTTTAGAATAGATTGAAAGACAACGATAAAAGTGTCATGGATAGTTGTTCAATTATGAAACAGTAGCTGATAAGTAATCCCCAAAGAAGAAAAAAGCAAGAAGAGTCTTCAAGAACACCATAAACAAAATCGCTCCCTGACAGTCACATCGCCCTGATGTCTCTGTGCAACCCCTGGCTCAATCGCTTTATTGCTTCTCCCAGTAGTGGGCATCATCCAATGTAAAGAAAAGAATACGAAAAACAACAAAAACACGGACGAAAAACTCTTGAAAAAAAGAAAGTTTCAAAACTTGGCGTCCGATTTGGGGTTACGGTAGCGTGCATTCGAGTGCATGTCCAGCTTTTGCACCACGAAATTGTATCATTCGTGATTTTTACGCGTTTTACCTTGCGAGATGGGTTGCAGTTGACTGTATGTGCTCCATGAATAAAATGTAATAAAGGAGAGCAGAATTATTTATGGGCACGAGCGCGGTCAGCAAAAGGGACATGCAGTTCCGATTAATGCCAGCCGCCCAACAAAGAACAATTGAGCGGCCCTCCGTCGGAGGGCATCTAGCAAGTGGGCGGTCCACTCCGCACAAACATTTAAGCGGCTGTAGCTTGCTCGCTGGCTCGCTGTGGGGTCGTGGAGAGTGGGAACAGTCTCTAGCTGGGGCTGCTTACTATTGGGTTCGGCGGGAAAGTTCTGTCACTTTTTCGAATTCAAAATACCTTGTCCATTACCTGAAGAGGAGGTGAACGGTAATGTGAGCACTTACACATCAAAGAGTGGTCTTTCTATTAGTACCACTCGCTTGATTCCTGCTTCTTCTTCTTCTGTAATATGGAGAAGAATGTTATCCGCTACCATCGCCACCGACCCCTCCAAATGCTTCTGATAGTGCAGCATACTTCCAAAAAGTTCAAGCCATATGCTTCAAATGCAATTAGAGCTGGATGGGCTTTCGTTGTAGTCGGTGTAGCCACGCAGACATTGCGTCCTTCTAACTGGCCGAGTTGGCCTCGTAATCAATCACTCCCCTGCCCGGATCCGAGAAATTACGATAGAAAACGCTCGGAAACAGTCCGAGTTCAAGCCAAAATTGAGATGACTGTCCAACTTGTATGCGCGGGCGCTCCCTGCACTTGTGGAAGCGATGGGCTCCACCCGAGGTGCTCAAAAAGAGGCAAGGACCCCGCACTGACATTGCTGTACAACTTTGATCCCACACTCCTCTCTATAAAAAGAAAGCCCAATTTGAAAAAAGTGACAGAACTTTCCCGCCAACCCCAATACTAGCACAAGGAGGGACGACCATGAATTACTTGAGCGCGGGAGCTGTCTTTGAGGAAGACGTTTCATTGGTTTACATTGTTACATTATGACGTAGAAATTCGGGTGGCGCGGACGTAAAACGAAAATCTGAACGGGGGATTTCGATTTCAACAGTTTACAAAGAACACTTTTAAGAGCATAGAAGGTCAACATAAATCTTGGGAAAATTCTTCCATTAAGGATTTTTAAAACGTAGAGTTATCGTTTGGTCTGTTCGATGGATGACGAGATCGTCTTGACTGTGACGGCACTTCGGATATGCTAGCTGTAATCGTACCAGAACTATGAGATCGATGAGAAAAGCCAGTCCCGAACCCTATGATGCACACAGCCTAAAACATGAGGCTTAAATTTGGTAAGTTCCTAGTGTGCAATGCTACGGCACATAATCTCAGGGCCATGTTTCGCATGCGCGATCCTGTGGCATGTCAAAAGGTACTGGCGTTTTGGCCCCGACTTGCGCACTCAATTCACCACCTGTTGGCCTGCTTATACCGCGCTCAACTACAGGCAAAAACTCGGCTTGCATCTTACGTGCCAGATCCAAGCATTCCTGAAGCACTCTTCGGCAGAGAGACAAAACAAATCGTATTTTCGCGCTCTGAGCGCAAGCGTATTCGTCCGGTACGTGGCAAATTCGGCCGCACTGCGTATTAGTTTGACATTGGAGCAGCGCCCAAACTCCTACGACTATGCAACAGGGACAAACATGCTAATGTTCGGACGATATTAAGACTGGTCCGCCTGCCCCCTTCAACCACTGAAATTTAATTTTCTCGGGTCCGTGGGTACGGCGCGCGCCGCGCCAAGCTTCACCAGAGTGCGTATATTACGCACTGGCTTGTCATGGTACCGGCGCTACCGTCCGCCCTCCCCCTGCGACACAAAGAATAATCACGGAAATGTAGGTTTTTCCCCGATATGACCCTTTTATCTTTTTTCCGACACGAAATCGCGACATCCGTCGAGCGGTGGGGAGGGGGATGAGTACAGAAACCTGTGACCCTGTCAGAACTTGTGCAATTACTGCTCCTGCAGCGGAAATAACCGACAGCCAAAAAGGACAGACTTCGACCAGTGGGCCCCGTTGATGTGTACTGATTGCCCAAAGTTTTAGGTGCAGAAAAGGTCAAATCATTATTCACACGGTCTCACAATGTTTAGCAGTGATCAGAAGAGCGCATAATTGGACTCCAACCATGACGCGCCGCGACCGTTCGCGCCATATGAGTGTTCCGCTGCGCAGTCACGTGCATGCTGAAGAAACAAACATACGGTTCCAAGCCACCATGCTGTATACTGCCATCGAATACTGCTATAAGTCATGGTAATACTATTGATGAAGAAAAGAAAAGCAAACGAGCCAGAATACATAGTTTCCTGTAATGGTATTTTTATCCAGTGGTTCTGGAGATAGACACAACGAATCCCAGATATGGCTTACCCAGAAAATCCAGTCCACGCTCGTTAGTGACTGCATGCAAATTGAACGCGAAAATGAGGACTAAAGTTGTTCCGATTATGGCAGCCATGGTCGACGTGGTCAATGCTGCATATGTCGGTGAAAAATGCGAGCCGACACTGCCGATCAGGAACAGAGCACATACAGAGCCAATCTGTAATAAACCTCTAAGACATAGGAGAAAGATTCAGTCATGTTACTTCACAGTCAGCTCAGGTGCTGGGTGTTGGCTTTAGCATCCGGGAAATCACACAAGCTCGCTCTATAGGCGCAGACTGTCTACCATCACGCCTTTGTAATTAGCAGGCTTCT